TTGAGAGATTTTTGCTATAGAGTGTGTGTGAGCCCAGGAGAAACGGAGAGAGACAGAGAGAAAGAGATAAATCATCCCCTAGGGGGGATGGTCACACTGCAATCCCTTCTCCTCCAGTATCCTCTCGGGATTTTGGGCATGCATGCACATGCGCCTGGCGTGAGTTGTAAATCACTGGGTCCTAGAATTGAACTGTGGTCGACTATGTAGGAGTCCAGCAACATAACCATTAAGCCATCTGCTGGTCCCTCTTTTTTTTTTTTTTTTTTGTGGGGTTTTTGCTATAGGGTGCATGCACTCGCCAGATAGACAGAGAGAGAGAGGGACAGAGAGTGAGAAATCACCTCCCAGGGCAATCCCTTCTCCTCCATCCTCCTCTCGGGATCTTGGGCATGTACGCACACATGCCCGGCATGAGTTTAAGTCACCAGGTTCAGGACCCGAACCACGGTCGACCACATGGGCGTCCAGCAACATAGCCATTATGCTAACTGCTGGTCCCTGGTTCCTCTTTTTTTTTTGTTTTTTAATTTGCTATAGGACACTTATGCTGGCTACACACACACACATACACACACAGAGAGAGAGAGAGATAACCACACTGCAATCCCTTTTCCTCCATTCCCCTCTCAGATTTTGGGCATGTAAGGCACACGTGCCTGGCATATTTTCAAGCTGCCAGATCTGAGACTCATACTCTATAATCGGCCATGTGGGATCCAACTGCGGTAACTACGATACCACCTACCTAGTCCCCTGCCTAGAACCTTAGCTGCAGAAATATTCTGTGCCTTTAGGCTACTTGGGCTTGATCCCAATCAATCGACATGCTCTTGCACCATGGGCCTTTTTGATCATGATTCTATCAAAAGCCTCGTCTCCTGCCATTCCACTCCAGCAAACATCCCATCTCTGTATCTTTGCCCAAGCCCTTCCCTGCATGGATTGCCAGACTCGGCTCCCATCCCTGCCATCACCCACCCTACTTGGATTGCCCAAACTGGAAGCCTCTGAACACCTGGAGATTCACCTGGAGATTCCCCTCAGTGCACCAGCCATCAGTAGTTTAAAACAAAGTCTCAAAAAGGAATTGTGCTTCTTTAAGCCTCAATGTTCCCATCTATAAAAAGAAAAGCTTGGCCTGGGTCGCTGGTTGTCTGAATAGGTTCCACAGAGCTGTCGGGTTTTAAGGAGGGACCTTCAGAGAGAGTGTAAGAGGTGATGGGGTAAAAAGTGAGGCCTGAGCAACCCAAGGGCATTTGGGCTTTGAAGCCGGTGAAGCGCTGAAGCCAGGTTCCTGTAGGTGACACAAAGTGGAGGCTGTAGAGAGGGTAAGTTGAGGCAGACAGCGGGAAAGGGGTAAGAGAGGCCCCTGGGGGAACAGGCATGCCCTCTATCCCAGCTGCAGCCCAAGGGGCTGGGCTGAGTTCTCAGCTCACAAAAGTCCTCACCACCTGCTGCGTGAAGTCAAAGGATGCAGACAACACCTCTGCACGATGGTGGGCCCAAGGGGTCGGTGTTGGGGAATGTGAAGATCAAGCTCAGTGCACCAGGGCTGGATAGGCCCTGCAGAGAATGTCCTGCACGGTGGTTAAACAAAGCCTGGGAAGTCAGCCCTACCGCCTGGCTGCCCTGGGTGGGTACTTTCCCGCTCAGTGCCTCAGTTTCTCCACTGGGATAATGCGGCACCTATACGCCAAAGGTGATGGTGAGGATCCAGTGAGAATTCACGTCCAGTGTTGTCAATAAGCACGAGGGCACCCAGCAGCTACCGCTGTTGTTATCACTGACCCGTCATTCCAGAAACAGAGGCCTGGCATGTACTGCCCACGGCCAAGCAGCCCGCTGGCAGTCAAAAGCAGCTGCATGCACCACTGACTCATCGCTCGAGGGCTACTGTCCTGCAGGGAGAAACTGAGGCCCACGGGTTATCCAGGTGGCAAGTGGCCACCCCACATTTGCCTGACTCTAGTATGGGCTCCTTTCACGTGGCATGCCATCTCAGGCACAGAGAGGGCACACAGCCTTCTTTTTTTTAAAAAATAATCATTTATTTAATTTTATTTATTCATTCATTTATTTTCATTTGACCAGAGAGAGATACACAGAGAGAGAAAGGGAAAGTGAGAAAGCAAGCCACCAGGTCCGGTACTTGAACCACGGTCGGCCATGTGGGAGTGTCCAGCACCTTAACCACCATGCCACCTGCTGGTCCCCGAATCCTCCCTCTTTCGTAAAAACAAAACAGCCACCAAACCAAAACCAAAGCGAAAACCAACCCTCTTTATGCCTATGCAATCTGAACTGGTTCTACAGGAAGTTTGTGATTTATAATCTATTAACAGTCCCCACATGCAAGATTTGACTGCGTCCTTACCAACACGGAGTATTACATCTTAGCAACGTCTCCTCGAGGTGGCTAGGCAGGGGTCCAGCAGTGAAAGGCGATGCTACACGAGGTTGACCCGCAGGGAAAGTTGCAGGTTCCCACACAAAGATCTCCCTGAGGGTGCCAGGCACACAGGTGTCCATGAGCCAGGGCTGCTAAAGTTACAGGTGGTTCTTTTTGTCAAGACTGTGCTGGTACTGTCTCTGTCTCTTTCTCTATCTTGCTCACAGAAAAACAAAAGAAACTTCGTTTTTGTGTTTCTTTATCTTTTCTTTTTTATTTTTGAAAGAGACGTTTGCCATAGGGTGCATGCACTTGCTGGAGAGACAGAGAGTGACAGAGAGACAGAAAACGAGAAATCACCCCCTGGGGGGATGGCCACACGAGAGAGAAAGGGAAAGTGAGAAAGCAAGCCACCAGGTCCGGTACTTGAACCACGGTCGGCCATGTGGGAGTGTCCACCACCTTAACCACCACGCCACCTGCTGGTCCCCAAGGGCACAGCCTTCTTGTCAGCGCTACACTCATGTAGCAGAAAAACTGCCCCATAACTTCACATCACACATATATGTAAAAACACATACACAAAAAAGGTAACATGATCCACAAAAGGGTCACACCGCAAGGTTCGACCTCCTTTTTTCTGTGCCATCCTGGCTCCACGGCCGTCCCCCAGCACCAGCCTCTCCCTGCCCACCTCATCCCGATGACAGCTCTGGGAGGTGCTTCCTGTGGTGGCCCACCCTGCTCATCTCCTCTCCCGTCACTGTGGTGACATTACGCACCAAGACTTCCAAGTCAAGGGAGCTGTGGCAAAATCACACCACCAGAAACTGGCCAGTGAGATCGCCTATGTCCTTATAAACAAAAACTGTGGGTGATTTGGGCATAGGCTCCAAGCTACGGAGAAAATACAGCAGGAAACAGATTTGCACGAGGTCTTCACAGGTTCCTGATCCTCTCAAACTGTACTGTCTTGGACCCGCTCCCTGGGGTACATCCTCATTAAAAAGCCAAAGTCCTGGGCCAGCAGGTGTCATAATGGTTAAGGCACTGGACTCTCACATGGCCGACTGTGGTTTGAGTCCTGGACCTGGTGACTGGATTTCTCACTTTCCCTCTTTCTTTCTCTGGTGAGCACATGTGTCCTATAGCAAACTTAATAATAATGATGATAAACCAATAATAATAATAAATAGCCAAACTCCCACAGGTCAACTTTACCCAGCTAAACCAGCTCTTGAACTTTGAGGGCCACAGAAGCACCCAAGAAGGATCTGGCTCCATTCCACAGGCAGTGACGGAGTCCCGCAAAGTCTGGCTCCCAGCATTTGCCCACTCCCCACCTGCTGTCAATCTGAGTCTAGATTCCTGCAATAACACCCCAACTGTTGCTTGGCAGGACTTCCATACCCTGCTCCATGTTCTGACTCAGCAGAGCCACTCACCGCTTCCTGTGTGACCCCATGGAAGGGCCTATCCCTCAGTTTCCCTGACTGGTAAAACAAGACATTTCCTTTGAAGGAACACAGTGAGGTTTAATGAGTGTGCATGCCCAGTGTCCGGCAGGAGCTCCTTCCTTGGGCTGCTCCTACCTTTTCCCACACTGGCGCTGCCCCAGCTCCTGCCCCAGCTACCCTTCCTTAGGCCCCCACCCCAGGGTCTTCCCTGTAAAGCACAGGCTACCCTTAGCATTCTGCCGTCAGCTTACTCTGTGGCCCGGGGCAAGCCTCTCTCCCTCCTTAGCCTCAGTTTCCCTACCTTGGCTCATCGCAAAGATGGCTTGTTGCCTTGACATTCCGAATGTGACTGTGTGCCAAAGTCACCCTCTGTAACTTTATGCCCGGACCAAGGTCTGCTGAAGCTCCCACTCTTGGCCTGAGGGCTGGAGATGCTCCCACAGAGTTTTGTCTCACAAGTCGGCTGGAGGTGCTGGGATGTGGCAGAGGGGGTGGGGCTACTGCAGAGCCTGAGCACACACCTGTGGTGAAGACCCTGCCAGCTGACCCCTTCTAGGAGTTACTGGAGGAAAGTAGGTCACCCTCCCCTGGACCCCAGCCCCAAGCACATGCTCAGCTATCTCTTGTCAACTACTGGGTCTGCTTTGCCAGGGGTCACCATGTTCCTAATAACTTGCTGCAAAGACCAGGGTTCTTTACACTGCTTCCAGCCCAAAACGATAATTTCTGGGTATGCGGTCAAGATAACTGTTCCTACTAATAGTCTATTAGGTAATAAAGGTAGGATGATCCAGACCGCTTCTCTTTTTTGCCTTAGCTGCTAGGAAACTCCAAGTTAAGGTTCTCAAATACTTTATCATTCTTCAGTCAGAAATGTCTGATAGAACCTCAATGCCTGTTTTCTCCTTTTCCTTCTCGGTCCCTTCCTCGGGTTAACTGTACTTGGTACCCTTATATCTGGACTTTCACTGTGCCCTGCAGTGTTGTCCTGATGTGGGGAAATAGCAGGTAAAGTGAGGAAGATTTAATACAGCACTCCCCCTAAGCAGCCCAGCCCAGCTGAGACTTGCTGGGGGCGGCCCAGGAGTGTCCCAGCTCCCTCTGCACCTCCCTGCCCAGTCAGGAGTCCCCGTGCCAGGCCCTCCACCTACCTGTCATGATCCTCTGTGCCTCGTAGGGCTCCATGTAGCCGGCACTCTCTCCCTTTCCCGCCTTGTTCTTGAGATCATTCTTAGCATCGAAGGGGTCCGAGTAGTCATCGGCGATGGTCACCTGCGGGGAAGAAGAGGCTGGGATGAGTACACCTTCGGCTTCTTTTCACTTGTTCACAGCCATGCTTTGCTCCAGCAAACAGGAAGTGAGCCTTGGACAGAGCTGGAACCTGCCCTCCGGAGTGCCAAGTCTTGTCGGGGTAAGGAATGGGACCCGCTCAAGCAGTGCTGACCCACCCAAGCTGTGCTCCCCCAACCAGGGAGAACAGACAAGTACCTGCAGGGAAGTAGTAACAGGCTGGAAGCCCACGGGCAAGAGCCTGGAGGTGGCTTCCGGCATATTTCCCCGAGAAAACAACAGTTCCACGTTGGAACAATGGAAAGTGAGTGCGCAGAATGCCTGGAAATGCTGACGTGCTCTGGAGCTGGCGGAGGCACAGAAGAGCCTGTCTGGAGAGGATCACACTCAGTCCCCCCCAGGTCTGGAACACAACCACGCCGTGGGTAATCCGACAACAATTTGGTGAGATCAACGCTCTGTAAGGATGACTGTGGCCCCAGACGGGCCAAGTGAAAACACGAAGCAGCACAGGGAAGGACAGACAGACTGCAGGGCCAGAAATGGTCTTGGAGCAAGAAAATCACAGACCCTTCTACAACAGATGGGCCAAACGAGGCCCAGAGGTGGGCGGGGCTTGCCCAGACCCTCACCTCCCAGGACCCTGCCTGGCCTAGCTCTCAGTATTCTCAAACCCAGCCCCCACCTCTCTCCAGAGAAAAGTTGTACAACTAACAGACTAAGAGTGAGTCACCTGGGGCTAGGCCAGAAGGGGGCGGAGACTCAGGAGACCTGGAGTATCTGGGATTCTCACACTTCAGAGACAAGGCTCCCCTTTTTCCAGGAGAAGGGTAAACCGTCTCAGTGGAAAGCTCCAGGCAAACAGGGCAACTAATCCTCCCTTTCCTCACTTCCTAACGTTTCAACGGGCACACCTACGGGGAGGAAAGGCAGGAACCTTTGGGGTACCAAATCTGTACCTTTGCCCCGCACCCCAGCTTCAGCGGTGCGACTTCTCTCTCACCCTCTCGGGACACTGTCAAACCGCAAGTCCGCACCCTCCTAGCCATGGCCACCCAGCTGCTTCCCTCGGGAGGGGATAGGTTAGCCTTTCTCTCAACCCTTGGGGTTACATGAATTGTTATTTAAATTGTGGGTTTAATTAGAAACCACAGGAGCCTCCTCTCTCTCCCAGCTCCTAGAATGTAAGGCATTTGAGGGGCCAATAAACTCAGGGGAAGGGAAAATCCCCCTTTGTCTGTCTGGTGAATGGCAGCTTGTGGCAGAAGTCCTGGCAGGGTATGCGAGTGACCGCCAGCTGCCTGGAATGTGATGCCCGAGGAGGGACAGCGGGCAGCAGCTCCGTCCCTGACGCGTGGCCGGGGGCCGATGGGAGGCAGAGCGTGCAGGGGTCAGGAGCAAGCTGCTCAGTGCAAGCCTCATGCCTGGAGCGCCTGGACTGAGCATCTGCACCCTGCTGCCACCCCTCTGCCACGTCCTCTGCTGCAGGTCGGGCTCCGGGTCCCAGCTGGGTGCCTCCAGATGCCGACATTGTAATCTGCCTTTCTGGAGACTCGTTGTGCTCAAATGACACCAGGTCAAGGAAAGAAGGGGGTGGAGAGAGCCAGGCCCGGCAGTGTCTTTCATTCGATATTTCTACTCTACCATTTGCAGAACACATTAGGGAGAAAATTGCACACGTGAACCACTGTCAAACACAACAGCTCAGACGCCGCAGCGTGCAGGGTTTTGTGTCTCAGAGTTCAGGGGCTCAGATGTCCAAATGGAGAAAATGATGTCGCTGCTGTGGCTGACATGGAATCTCATTTCCCTCGCCCCAGACTTCCTCACTGTCTCGTTTCAACAGGAACATCTTCCATCTATGTGCAATAAGAAAGGGCAGAAATATTTCCCCAAGAAAACAAAATAGTTTTGGGGGACTCGCTGGGGAATAGGGGGGGGAGTGGGCTGCGGTGTCCACAGTAATCTAGAAATCTACATTCCAGCTCCACTAGGAAGTGCTCTGTAATTTGCAAACACGGAGGCTTGCAAGGATATAAACCAAATCTTTGTTCGCGCTGGGACAGGAGCTCTGGGAGCCCCGCGATTGAGCAGGAGCTAGCTCTATTTTCTAATTAAAATGAGATCTGAGCTCAGGCTGTCACAGGGCTCCCAGCTGCCTGCTCTGCTTACCTCCATTTCAATAAGAATTTCCAAATCCTAAAACCAGGAAAAGCCCCTGGTCTTGGCTGACATATGGTTCCAGTTACACCTGCTGACAGTTGAAAATCTTTCCGTTTAAAAAAAATTTGGAATTCTGTCAGTTTAAGAAGCAAATCGGAAGGTTCCTAAAATGTATATTTAATCAACTTGCTTTCAGACTTCAAAGTGAGGTTGATGGAAGTTAGGGAATCTGAGGTTTGAACAACTTGAAACTTGGCAAGCACTACACTGAGCTACTCAACTTTTTGCAAAATCAGTCTTCATCTGGGGATAAAAAAATGTAACCAGGTGTGAGGGGAGTTGAGTAGGCAGACAACCGGGGGCCATGGGACGTGCCATAGGACGGGCAGCGTGGCCCCTGCCTAAGCTGCTTGCTGTAAGTCGAGATGGCTGGGCAGCAGGTTTGCATGAAGGCTGCTGCTCTTCTGATTAATAGAAGGGGGATGCATTTCTCCAGAGGTGGTCTCCTGCTGGGGTGCTTTCATTTGCTTTAAAACACCCCAGTTAGTGGACAAGTCCTGTAAACCAAATTGATCAATTCAGTCAAAAGGGAACCAGCCAGACCACCTGGATACACAACAAGCTCTTTTTGATTTTGGTTTCAGATCGCCAAATTTCTGACAGTTTGTTGGATTCCTACACGTGGTAGGCTGGCAGCCACCAACGGCGGCAGCCACAGAGCTGAGATGGGAACCCTGGACACTGGTCCCATTACTTCACTAAGGAGCGGAGTTGCAGAAAGACAGGCTGTTGGATGCGACCGCCATTGGGCTATGTCTTTCACTTTCTCAGCCTCCTGGGATGGGCACTAACATCCAGGCAAATACCCTTTCTTGCCTTCAAACAAAACTATAGATCCCAGGTCAGCTCAAAGCCTCTAAAGGACTTCGCAGGCTCGTAACGCAGTGAAGCTTGAAGCTTGCAGTCCTCGGGAGTCAAGCTCCAACCTCTCCTTGTTTTCCACGTGACCTGCAGCAGCCCAGAGGGGCAAGGCCTTGTCACACCTAGTGAGCTGGACACAGGGTCTTGGAGCAAGCCCTCTCCTGATTCCCGAGCTGGAGTTCTAGGATTCCACCACACCTAGTGCCTCTCTGATGGTGGTGTGGTTAGACTAGCAGGAGGTCCAAACACCTCTTTTTTGTAATAGGCAGGCTGCAGGGTGGAACTCAGCCCCTTCCAGCAGTCAGTCTTTGGTGTTTCTACTGCAGGGATTTAGGTTAGCAACAGGAAGCAGTCTTCCTGTTCATCCCCAAAGGGAATGAGGAAGGTGGGCGTTGCCACTTGGCCACACTTCACACATTGGTGAGAGTTTTTGCCGGCTTGGCTTTTGTGACACGGCTGCACCTGTGCGGAGAACTGGGCCCTCTCCACGCCCCTCAGTAGGAATGTACAGTGCAGCCTCTCCGAAGGATCACTGCAGGCAACACCCATTACAACCCAGTAAGCATGCCCAGCAAGTTCACTTCTCAGGATTTATTATGCTAAGGAATACTATGTAGCAAGTTTTATAAATAAAAAATAAAAAGCAGGCAGGCAATCTAAATGTGCTACCACTGCTCTCCAAATACAGTGGTGAATGGAAAGCGAGCACGCTGTAAAATGATAAACACAACCTGATACCTATGTATGAAAAACAAAACCGAAACCTGTATCTCTTAATTTAAAGAAAACTTCTGGGGAGATGTATGCTCCAAACTGACCCCTCTTTTGGGAGAAGGGGGAACTAGGATTGGGGTGTTTAGAGGGATTCAAAGGAAGCTGGTCTATAATATGAACATATTTTCAAACAAGGAGAACTTATTCCTATATTATATGCAAAACCATACCTGTGTAAAAGCACTACTACTCTCAAGGCTATTTTTGGTACAGTACACTGTTTCCCAAACTTGCCTGGAATGCTTGCTAAGAAAATAGATTCTGAGCCCCAATAACCTGTATATTTAACAAGCAACCAAGGTGATTCTTATCAGGAAAGTTTGGGAAACAATAAGCAGAGAGTCGGGCGCTTTTCCCATTGGCCTCCAGATATTACTCTGGAATTTCACTTTTCCCGGAGATTTCTCAGGCCTGTTCATTAAAGTGAAGCAAGAAGTCCAGGTTAACTGCAGTTCTCTTGGCTTCTTCCCTGGGGGTCAACTGAAGTAAGAGATGACCCAACACGTCTTGGCGCATCTCCAGAATCAAAGACGCGGAGCGAAAGGCATCCTCGGTGCAATCCTGAGAGCTGGTTCCAGGTTGAGCAATGCGGGCTGTGCGGGTGGGGGGGTAGGGGTGGGGGTGGAGGGGGCGCTATGCAAGCAAGGACCCCTGCTCTGTTTCCAGGAGAGGAGGCAGGGACCTGATGTGGGCTCTGGCCCTGAGGGCACACACATATGCTTTCAGGCCAAGTCTATCTGGCTCTCAGCAAGCTCGCTCCAGGAAAACCGTTCTGCTTCAGGAAGCGCTGGTGGCGCTGTTAAGAAGAGCCACTGCAGAAATCACTCGAACATGCTCAAGAGGAGGGACAAGTGGTGGAGCAGCCCCCATCGTCCAGGAGTAGGGGAACCACACTTTCCCCACTGTCCCATGGATAATTCTTGTGAGCCACAGTCACCTCTGTGTGCCCCATTGTGTATGGGAACTGGCAGAGCACGGGCTTTCCCAGCTCAGCCACAGGCTTGCTGGATGGGGGAGTGGGGGGGAGTGGGTCTCTCTGTTGCCTTCCCTTCCCTGGAAAGTGAAGGGGCAATGGCGTTCTACAAGGACCTGGATTCTTGCCAGGGTCAGGACCACTCTCTTCT